GACGATGGTGCTTCATACAAAGTTGTAGATAACACCGGCGGAAATGTTCCAGCGGCCGCCAAAACACACGGGAGCTCGCTGTCATCGGCGTATTTCTTGAAGGACGTTGCGTTGAAAATGCGATGACTGTCACATGATGATTCCCCGCATTCGTTGACGGGCCACACAGTCCAGGGTGCAAGGACCTGGATAGCAAACAAGAGCTGGTTTAGCCGTGGCCGCATCGTTGCAGTGCTGTCGATGCCCACTGAGTACGACGACGAAAGGGGCGGTGCAGGAAAACTTTGCCCCTGTCGATGACGATGGTGCTTCATACAAAGTTGTAGATAACACCGGCGGAAATGTTCCAGCGGCCGCCAAAACACACGGGAGCTCGCTGTCATCGGCGTATTTCTTGAAGGACGTTGCGTTGAAAATGCGATGACTGTCACATGATGATTCCCCGCATTCGTTGACGGGCCACACAGTCCAGGATGCAAGGACCTGGATAGCAAACAAGAGCTGGTTTAGCCGTGGCCGCATCGTTGCAGTGCTGTCGATGCCCACTGAGTACGACGACGAAAGGGGCGGTGCAGGAAAACTTTGCCCCTGTCGATGACGATGGTGCTTCATACAAAGTTGTAGATAACACCGGCGGAAATGTTCCAGCGGCCGCCAAAACACACGGGAGCTCGCTGTCATCGGCGTATTTCTTGAAGGACGTTGCGTTGAAAATGCGATGACTGTCACATGATGATTCCCCGCATTCGTTGACGGGCCACACAGTCCAGGATGCAAGGACCTGGATAGCAAACAAGAGCTGGTTTAGCCGTGGCCGCATCGTTGCAGTGCTGTCGATGCCCACTGAGTACGACGACGAAAGGGGCGGTGCAGGAAAACTTTGCCCCTGTCGATGACGATGGTGCTTCATACAAAGTTGTAGATAACACCGGCGGAAATGTTCCAGCGGCCGCCAAAACACACGGGAGCTCGCTGTCATCGGCGTAGTTCTTGAAGGACGTTGCGTTGAAAATGCGATGACTGTCACATGATGATTCCCCGCATTCGTTGACGGGCCACACAGTCCAGGATGCAAGGACCTGGATAGCAAACAAGAGCTGGTTTAGCCGTGGCCGCATCGTTGCAGTGCTGTCGATGCCCACTGAGTACGACGACGAAAGGGGCGGTGCAGGAAAACTTTGCCCCTGTCGATGACGATGGTGCTTCATACAAAGTTGTAGATAACACCGGCGGAAATGTTCCAGCGGCCGCCAAAACACACGGGAGCTCGCTGTCATCGGCGTAGTTCTTGAAGGACGTTGCGTTGAAAATGCGATGACTGTCACATGATGATTCCCCGCATTCGTTGACGGGCCACACAGTCCAGGATGCAAGGACCTGGATAGCAAACAAGAGCTGGTTTAGCCGTGGCCGCATCGTTGCAGTGCTGTCGATGCCCACTGAGTACGACGACGAAAGGGGCGGTGCAGGAAAACTTTGCCCCTGTCGATGACGATGGTGCTTCATACAAAGTTGTAGATAACACCGGCGGAAATGTTCCAGCGGCCGCCAAAACACACGGGAGCTCGCTGTCATCGGCGTATTTCTTGAAGGACGTTGCGTTGAAAATGCGATGACTGTCACATGATGATTCCCCGCATTCGTTGACGGGCCACACAGTCCAGGATGCAAGGACCTGGATAGCAAACAAGAGCTGGTTTAGCCGTGGCCGCATCGTTGCAGTGCTGTCGATGCCCACTGAGTACGACGACGAAAGGGGCGGTGCAGGAAAACTTTGCCCCTGTCGATGACGATGGTGCTTCATACAAAGTTGTAGATAACACCGGCGGAAATGTTCCAGCGGCCGCCAAAACACACGGGAGCTCGCTGTCATCGGCGTATTTCTTGAAGGACGTTGCGTTGAAAATGCGATGACTGTCACATGATGATTCCCCGCATTCGTTGACGGGCCACACAGTCCAGGATGCAAGGACCTGGATAGCAAACAAGAGCTGGTTTAGCCGTGGCCGCATCGTTGCAGTGCTGTCGATGCCCACTGAGTACGACGACGAAAGGGGCGGTGCAGGAAAACTTTGCCCCTGTCGATGACGATGGTGCTTCATACAAAGTTGTAGATAACACCGGCGGAAATGTTCCAGCGGCCGCCAAAACACACGGGAGCTCGCTGTCATCGGCGTATTTCTTGAAGGACGTTGCGTTGAAAATGCGATGACTGTCACATGATGATTCCCCGCATTCGTTGACGGGCCACACAGTCCAGGATGCAAGGACCTGGATAGCAAACAAGAGCTGGTTTAGCCGTGGCCGCATCGTTGCAGTGCTGTCGATGCCCACTGAGTACGACGACGAAAGGGGCGGTGCAGGAAAACTTTGCCCCTGTCGATGACGATGGTGCTTCATACAAAGTTGTAGATAACACCGGCGGAAATGTTCCAGCGGCCGCCAAAACACACGGGAGCTCGCTGTCATCGGCGTAGTTCTTGAAGGACGTTGCGTTGAAAATGCGATGACTGTCACATGATGATTCCCCGCATTCGTTGACGGGCCACACAGTCCAGGATGCAAGGACCTGGATAGCAAACAAGAGCTGGTTTAGCCGTGGCCGCATCGTTGCAGTGCTGTCTCGCCCACTCTTTTTCACTTTTTCCTGACTCACAGATATGTCTCTTTAATGTCTAAAAATGCTACTTATAATGGTCTACCACTTGTAGCGGCAATTTCTATACTCTGAGTTATGATAAAAATGTTATATTTAGGTCTTCTGTCCTTTCGGAAACCGTTTAGAAGTTCTCCTAAAATCTCCATTCTTTCTGGCCATCGCTCTATTCTTGTTATTATCATCTGCATAGCTAGCCCGTGTTCACGAACCCAACTGTCTATTCGCGACTTCAGCAAGATGAACGGCACCAAGCGGGTGAACCGGGAACCAGCCGGAACAGGTCGCGTTGCACCTCTCCGCGTCTTTCGCGGACACGTGTCGTCGGCGCGGTGACGAACAGTGTAATTTGACGAAGGCCCTAATATTTCTTAAGTTTGCCTGAGTGTTCATTACTGTGACGGTGCCTCAGTTGATTCTTTCCTTCCATCACTTGTTTGAAAGCCCGTTTACTCCACAACGCACGGTCGCGTGCTTTCGTTTTCTTGAGGGGAGCGGGGGGGGGGGGGGGGGGGGGAATTACGGAAAAACGTTTTGATTTCTTGTCTGTCTCGAATCACATTCAAAGTGACGACTACTTGGTGACTGATAAGTGGTTTCTTTATAAGGATGTAGAACAGTGGACTGAGGACGACAAACGAGGTGTTTCACTGGAGGGAACACCAATGTTGCAGTCAAGTCAATGGGAAGGTTCGGCAGCTGCTTTTCTTGACTTTAGTTCTGTTCGATTAGCTTCAAGATTGAGCCACTCACGCCGGTCGGTGCGTTGGCTATTCATCTTGGGTCTTGGCTAAGTTTCGCCGAGAAAGCCTCTAGACCACACCGAAAGAGTTGGGCTGATTTTGCAATCACTTTATTCCGGAAAACCTGCTCGCTGCATACGACTAATGAGGGAAATTGTCCGCTTTCAAAAGGTTGGGGACGCGTCTCGCAACGTTAGAAACTCTCACGACATTATGAGTTATCGCGCCTCCCATATTGATATTATACCCCCGTCGAAGCCAGCAGCAATATACGCCTAGATTGCTCAGGTGGTCCAGCCACAAAAAATACTTAACTTTTTCGTTCAGGATTCGAAGTCAAGTTCAATACAGCGAGGCTCTGCGTGAATCTCCGGTAAAGACTCTCTTCAGTTTTTGCACATTCGTCTTCGTACTGCCGGCTAGAAACTTTTAGTTGAGTTTAAGTAGTATCTATCTGCCTGTCAGATATACTTTTATTCAGCAGTTCACCCAATGGCTAGTCAACTAAGCTCATATTTGAACCCGAAGAATATAATAATACTGCTTTAGTGGGGCATAAGACGCAATACAATACCGTAACCCGCATATTCTTAAATGACCTCTTGATTGGTACTAAAACCTGAATTGAAATACGATTATCAGCTGCTTACTGGGGCGCCAGCGGGTTAACATGCTTCTTTGCTCAAAAAGCGCTTGCTAAATTTTTGTAATTTTCCTGCAGTCTGTGTTATTGACCGAGCAGACGCGGATACGCACAAAAGCTTGATTTGGCGTACAGATAAGTCGCATGGTCGAGGCATGCGAGTTAGCTGAAAATTACTCTCGGTGGAACAATTCTGTAGCCATCGCCGCTTTCCTTATCTGTTCATAACTGGTTAGAGTCTATTACCGTCTCTCCGGAGCCCAAAGTTTCGGTTTTGAACGAAATCTCGGAAATAAATCTTGACATAAAAAGAGCAAAAAGTACCAGGAAAACCAAACTATGCTCTGCAAGTTTATGTGCACCGGCTTTGCTTAACCGTCGCAGTTCAAATACCTATAAAGTAGGGCATTAAACAAAAGAAAATCCGTTAAATTGAATGCGCCACCAGTTCAGCCGGCCCGGCGGAGCTGACGAGACCTGTTCCCAGCCGCCATGTTTGTTTTGTGTAGGCGCCACCTATAGGTCGCTGGAGTCGCGAATATGTGGCGCCACTCGTCTTCCCAGATGGCGGTTATAGACCTTGTCCACAAGGACGCCGCCATCCTGAATTGTCGTCACTTCCAGTATGGGCGAAAACTTTGTTTTGACGTAGCCACGTCAATAGAAGATATTTACGATACAAGCGTAACCGTCACACATTCTTGTTTTGCTTCCCTTCTGTTTTTTGTACTGGTTACAGATTGAACCGTTTTATTATTTTTTCGTCGCCCATACCGGATACGCTTCTAAGGTGGCTGGGGACGAGAGTACACGAAAAAGGTCTATAGACCGTTCCATTAGGGTCATATTAGAGAGGGTAAAAAGAGAAAAAAGAAATGCCCTCCCCCTCTCGCCCGGATGTCGTCTGCTGCGCCGAGTGGGCAGTACAGTGCAGTCCACTTATAACGATATTGAGAAAACCGCAAAATCCAATCGTTATAGCCGATTATCGTTATATCTGGACCGACAAAAAAAAAACACAAAGAGAAGTTACTTACGGGCGATGAGTGAATCAGGTCGTACAACGCGAGCCGAGGCAAAGAAAACCGAAGGCTTTATTAAAAGGTACGAAAATGACTGTAAAATAATTTAAGCATGCTTAAAAAAGTCGGAAATTTGCGCTTGCTTGAGCTGAAGTTTGACAATTGCCGTGTGCATTGCTTCCAGTTGTTGCGCGTACGCTGGCGGCAGTCCTTTTGCGTGCACAAAACCGACCAGCGACTGGATGGAGAGCAGGGCATTTTGTGAAGACATTGGAGGCGGGGTGTTCTCGTCGCCGCCGTCGTCGTCACTACTTTCGCAGTCGCTCGATGTGATTTTTCGTCGCGATTGCTGTTCCTCGGCAATGGCCTCATCAGTAGACTCCTCGCATGAAGCGGCAGCGTTGTCCGCGTTCAAAAAGTCTCCCAAGAGAGCTCCGCCGATGTTCTCCTCGGAAGCTGCTATGTGGTCCCAAAGTTCACCCACATCGGCAGGTTCGATGAGCAAGTCATTTGTCTCTTCCGAGACCGTGGCGTTGTGGCGCACGAAGCCTGCCTTTTTAAAACAGTTCTTGAGTGTAACCTGCTTCACCTCATACCACGCACCATGCACGAACCGCACCGCTTCTAACAAGCTCACCTTCAGGTCAGGAGGTCCGCCGGCGTATTGAGACAATCCTGAGCAGTCTAGTTTCATGATGAGCCATTCCAGCATGCGACGTCTGTAGAGGGCCTTGAAATTGGCGATTACGCCGACATCCATGGGCTGCAGACCTGCCGTGGTGTTCGGAGGCAGAAACATTACCTCAACGGACGTTAGCTTCGGGCTGACGTTGTGTGCGCTGCAGTTGTCGAGGAGCAGCACCACTTTCCTCTTCTGCTTCTCCATAGCGCCGTCAAACTCGAGGAGCCATTCCTCAAAGAGATCTCGCGTCATCCACGCTTTCTTGTTATTTCGATAGCGGACTGGAATGCATTGATTCCTAAAGCAGTGAGGCCTTTTCGATTTCCCGATCACAAAGGGCTTGAGACGCTCGGTACCGTCCATGTTTGCGCACACAAACACCGTCACCCGGACCTTGCTATGTTTGCCACCAACGCACGGGTCACCTTTCAGCGCGTGCGTCTTTGTAGGCAGCATCTCATAAAAGAGTGCTGTTTCATCGCCGTTGAAAATGTCACTTTCTTGGAAGCGCTCCAACAGCTCGGGTAATTTCGTCGCCAGCCATTCGTCTTTCGCATTTACGTCCAGCGAGGCAGCCTCCCCGACGACGTTTTTATAAACGATGCCGTGGCGATCCTTGAACCGCTGAATCCATCCTCCGCCGGGTTCGAAGTTTTCCCGTCCCAGAAGGGAAGCAAATTTCTTCGCCTTTGCGGCAAGAATAGGTCCACTTATGGGCACGTTCCGGTTGCGAGTGGTCAAGAACCACTGGTACAGGGAGTCTTCAACGTCGCCGTACAAAGGATCCCTAACCCGCTTTCGCTGGTCGTCGTGACCGCTGGTGCCAGCCTTCTTCAAGACATCTCCAGCCTTGATGATTGTAGAAATCGTTGATTGAGACAGCTCGTATCTTTTTGCGAGGCTACCAACCTTGAATCCTTGTCGGAAATCCCGGTGAATTCGCTGCTTCACCTCCAGAGATATCGCTTTGCGCTTAGTCGGCGCCATTTTTACCTCACGAACGTACGAACGTGCGGAAACGGGGGAAAACTAGGAAGCGTTGCGCGGCGGCGGCCAAGCAAGCTCTTTCTCTCCTCCCTTCAGCGATTGCGATGACGATAGCACTTAGTTCCGAAGGATGAGGCTGAACTTTTTAAATCGGGCGGCGCCTCGCGTCACCTAGCGGATCTTTCCACGCCGACCGGTTTTTGATATTTTTACTAGTTTTCATGTCGTTCGCTTCAAGTATTTTAATTTTTCTCAAATTTCCAGGCAAATTTTTCGTGATAAGCACCTTCCGGGCGGCCAGAATTCTATCGTTGTATCCGATATGTCGCCGATAATTCTATCGTTATATATGGTTTATTTTTACATAGAGGCGATGGGAGAATTGACAAATCTAAAAAATTTGATCGCTATAAGCGATATATCGTTATATCTGGTATCGTTATAAGTGGATTACACTGTACCTAGCATCCGGCTGGCGTACAAACTCTGTTTAAAATCGCGTCATTTTGGAAATTTCCAGCGCAGATATTGGTATGCCAGTTATCGTGTATTACTGTGCTAGATAAAAAAGACTAATAGTGTCCAATTGCGCTGTTATCTGCGTGCAAATAAAAAAAATAGGGAAAACTGTGTCAGACTGGCCGATCTCTCCGGCGAAAAGTGAATCCGGTGGCTGTATATCTTTTTTACTATACAAAGTTCGTACTGGTGTAGGCCTTTAGCGACCATGAGTGGATTTCTAAAATAATAAATAAAACGTTAGCGTTTCGTGTTCCACACTGCGCGCGTGCGGAGACCGAAATTGCGGTCTTGAATTGGAGCATGGAGACGACGCACACGCACAGCGTGGAGCACTCAACTCTAACGCAAACGCACGACACTTGCGTTTGCTTCTATACGCAATACTAAAACTCTTTAGTAAGGTAGAGTCCTATGCCGGTTGCAGCACTCCATCGAGATAGTGAAGAATGTTATTTGCGTTCAAAAATTACTGTTCGCGAGCCTTGATCGCGACCAGTTCCGCCGTGCCTCCTGGGCAGGAGAACCGAGGGACCCTCGCTAAAGCACTTCCCTTTTCCGCCGCGAGAGGGCGAGCAACGAGCTGGAGGCGGAGGAAGGCTGAGCCCCCCAGATCGGTTCCAACGATTATTCCGGAAACGTCACACGATAACGGTATACGGTGCAATGTGCAAAGGCGCCGACGACGTAATTGGGCATCGTTATAGGAGTCCACCGTTATCGATGTGCAATGCTCCGTTTCCCCCCAAGCCAGAACGCGGTCAACGCTATACGATTCAATCCAGCCAATCAGGCAGCGCCAAAAGTGCATAGTCACGGCGTTCGTCATCTTTTTGCGCTTTCCTAAATAGAAAGTTTTAGGGAACCGTATTTGCACATCCGGTACGAAGAAGTGCAAAAGCGATTCCCTAAAACATCCTCATGTAGAAACGAGCAGTCAAACTCTCTAATGTTAGGGGCATCGTTTTCGAAGCATCGCGCGCTTCAACGAATGAAAAAAAAAAAAAAAAAAAAAGTTTTTTTCTCTTATTAGGACAGTCGGTGACGAGGATACTTTGGAAGGATGCAGCAGACGACGAGTGAACGAAGTTCGTGGCCCGAGTGTTCGCGTCTGGCGAATGGCTCGGCTTCAAATGGAACTTTTGTAGAAGCATCGGTTTGAGAGTAAACGGGTCTTGTACCCTCTCTCTCTCTCTCTTCCTTCTGGCCGAGTAGAGAGGGAAGATGGTTTCTTCATGTCGACTTCGGGGCAGAAGATAACCCGCAGTCGGGACAAAGGCGAGGGTGAACAGGATGTGGCTCACGTTTTGGGTGTCGAACGGGTGGGAGAAGCTTTCCGCGCGCGTTGTTTTCTAGGCACTTAGTAGTGGTCTCCATTGCTAGAAAATATCCTTCAGATGAAGCAGTTGTTAAAGGGGCGGTGCAACAATTTTCGGACTTCGGTCAAAGATTTCTGGAAGTTGCCCCCTGACACTTCTGAAGTAAAGAACAGAAAACCGATTTCGCATGCGTGTCCTAGTTGTTGCGTAAAAAAAAGATAAAGATTGGCATTTCGGGCACCCCTCAACTCACTCCCAGTCTTCAGGGTCACACCTGGTCGCACTCCCAGTGACGTCATTCGGAATGCCGTGTAGCTTCCCGTGTGCTATCTCGGAGGACGCTTCCCCTCCCTCTCTCTGCGTACATTAGCGGGCGCTATGCTGCAGCTTAGAGCCGAGCGAGGTCACGTAATCTTTCCGCTGTAGTTCCTTCGGCTGCCACTTGGGGCTGCAGGTGGGGGAAAAAGCTCGACTTTTGCTTTGCGATTATGCAGCGGAATCGCGACATTTCTAATAAAGGAAGTGTTTTCTCTATCCTCTGGGATACGATAAACAACGTAAAAATGACGAGATGCAAATTGTTTTAATCATAAAATCGTTGCACCGCCCCTTTAAGCGGGAAAAACATGTAGGACGAAACTGTCCGATCCGACGTGCGGACTGCCGGAGTGACCTTGGGGGTTTTCGTAGCACCGGAGAGCGTTGAAAACCCTCGCCTCCGACCGTCGTATTCTTTTTTTTTTATTTAGGAAATACTGCGGATGGTTTTCCACCATCCTAGCAGGAGAGGGTTACAACATGTTTATAAGAAAGGAATCAAAACTATTGGACGGTGGAGCGTTCACGCAGTCTGACGGCAGTGAGTTCCAGTCTTCAATGGTTCGTACAAAAAATGAGTACTTAAATAGATTATTTCTAGGAGCATATTGTCTAACATTTTTTGAGTGGTTTAGCCTTGCTGAGCGCTGAGGAGGTGGCTGAATATACAAGTCTTTACTTAAGCCAGTTTCGTTATGATAACTTTTATAAAAAAAACTTAATCTTGGAAATTTCCGCCTGGCTTCGAGAGATTCTAGCCCACATCTATTCAACAGTTCAGAAACCGAGGAGAGGCGCCTAAAATCAGAAAAAATAAATCGTGCACTTAGTCGCTGAATCCTCTCCACTTTTTCTATATCTTTCTTTAAATATGGGTCCCACACGATTGACGCATATTCTATAACTGGGCGAACTAGGGCTTTATAGGCTGAAAGTTTTACAGTCCAATTGCACGCTCCCAATTTCCTTTTTAAAAAACACAGTTTTTTGTAGGCCTTGGCACAAGTATTGTCTATGTGGGTGTCCCAGCTAAGTTTCGTGTTAATAGTTAGACCTAAGTATTTTACGTCATTCACTGATTCAATGAGTTTATCGCGGACATGATACGTATATTCGAGAGGAGATTTCTTGCGTGTTATTGTAAGAGCGCATGTTTTCAAGTAGTTTATAAGCATCTGCCACCTCTCACACCAGTCAGCAATTTTACACAAGTTTTCGTTAAGCAATAATTGGTCCGAGGTGTTAATGACAGTAGTATAAATCACACAGTCGTCTGCAAACATTTTCACAGTCACACCCGAGTCAAGGTCGTCAGCTATGTCATTGACATATATCAAGAACAAAAGGGGTCCCAAGACAGACCCTTGGGGAACACCTGACAGGACATCAAGATTTTGCGATTGACAACCGTTAATTGCTACAAACTGCGTTCTGTTCGTCAGATACGCAGAAATCCAGTTCACAAGGCGGGGAGAAATTCCTACACGCTGCAGTTTTTTTAGTAGTAGATAGTGCGGTACCCTATCAAAAGCTTTTGACAGATCCAAAAATATCGCATCGATTTGTTTCCTTTTGTTGATAGCATTGGCGAAGTCATGTACAACTGATACGAGTTGAGTCGTGGTTGATAGCTTTTTTCTGAACCCATGCTGAAAGCTGGCTAATATGTTATTGGATTCTAAAAACGAAGTTATGTGGCTGGAAATTATGTATTCGAGCAGTTTGCAGCAACTGCTGATTAATGATATCGGCCTGTAGTTCGCAGCCAGCAGTTTGCTCCCGTCCTTGTGCACCGGCACAACCTTCCCACACAGCCAATCAGGAGGCAGGCATCCCTGATCCAAGGATGCATTGAACAAAACATACAAATACTGCGAAATCATGTCCATATAACGCTTCAGAAAGGCGTTGGGAATACCGTCAGGGCCAGAAGACTTTTTTACATCAAGTCTTAAAAGGAGAAGACGAATCCCATTTACGTTTAAATTTATGTCTTGCATTACATTAGATGAAAGAGAAAAATGTTCGATTGTATTTTCGGTCGTGCCCCGTCGACCAAAGACACAATTAAATGTGCTGTTAAGCTCATTGACAATTCGGTAAGGGTCAGTAACCCCACAACCATCAATGTGAAGTTGGTCGACAGTCCTATTGTTGCCAGATAGATATGCCCAAAACTTTTGCGGCGCGTTTTTCATGAAGTTTACAAGTGTCGTTCCAAAAAAATAATCTCGAGCGCTCCGTATTTTTTGCTTCAGTGTTATTGAAAGGGAAGATATGACACTATTATCTTTACGAGCTGATTTGCGTTTTCGAGATATAGCTCTTTTCAAATGTATTATGTCCCTTGTTATCCAGGGGTTGGGCTGTTTCTTTTTCTGAAATTTTGGTACGAATTTATCAAGACATGATGCAGTAATGTTTTTAAAGGTATTCTACAAAGTCGATACGTCACCTCCCGCCTCAAAGTCACTGAAGCAAAGGTCAAGTGAATCTATAACAGCTTCATCATCGGCAGCGGAAAAGTTAAAGACACATTTACTCGTGTGATTCTTTTTGACAGGACAAACATTTGAGGTAAGTAAAACAAGCTTATGGTCAGAAATACCATCGCAAACACTCACAGTAGTGTCCTCTGGGAAATTTCCAACAAATATAAGGTCTAGTATGTTATCCGCGCTTTGAGTGACTCTTGTACCCTCTTTAACAAGCTGAATGAGATTAAAGTTTAGCATCAATTCAAGTAACAAGTTGCAGTTCTTTACGTCCGTCGTCGCTTTAGGCCCATGTTAGTTCCAAGTTGCGGCAGTGACGCGGTACGTCATTTCTCCTCGCAATTGTCGGAAAGGGCCCGTCTGCCTAGGTATTTAAAGGGACCACGAAATTACCTTTTTACTTTTGCCACATAACTTTTACGGGTAGCGGACATTTCGTCGAACGCCATTTCATCGAATGTCGTTTCATCGAATGAACGGACATTTCATCGAACGCCGTTTCATCGAGCGTCGTTTCATCGAATCGCTATAAGGGCCGTTTCATCGAATTTCTTCGTTATGGCTCTATACCGAGTTTTGGGGCATAACAGTGCTTTGTAGATGTTTCACCTTGCATTTGTTAAGACTAAGGTAGTCACTTTTGAAATTGTTTTGAAGGTGGTGTCAAATTACTAAAAATAAAAAAAACAATTGGCATAGAAAGAAAT